ACTAGTTCCGAGCTCTCAAAAGCTTGCTTTGTGTGGTCCTATCACTAGTTTTCACATTCATGTATTTTTAGCCTCCGTCACATCTTTAGATCAGATACGATACTGTATTTCTAATTAGATAAAAACACCATGTTGAGGTCTGATTTGTTCTCAAAATGTTTCTTAAACAAGTCTATTTCTGTTGCAACAAAAACAAATACTTATGAAACAATGAATGGAAAATTGTCAAGCTTTAATGGCAGAGAAATGTCATACTAGAGGGCAATTAAAGGCTAAACAAATAATATATAAAATGTATTAAGACTGGAATTACACAAAACAAAACCTATACTACAAACATCCATCCATCCATTTTCTTCCCCTTAATCCATTTTTGGGAAGGGGGGGGGTGGCCAGAGATGCCACCCAGTACACAGAGCACCAGCCCCTCACTGATCCTCCTGCAGGTGGTGAGTCCACAGGAGCTGAGATCTTTCAGTGCAGTGGGCTTCAGGCAAAGTGGGATTAAGTGTCTTGCCTACGGACACAACGACAGCAGTCATCAGTGGGAGTCGTGAAGTAGGTCTTACGATGGGCTCGAACCCACAACCTTCAGGCTCAAAGGCCAATGCTCTACCAACTGAGCTACTGTCTACTACAAACAAATACAGATAATAAACTGACTACTACATCGCTTAAATAGTTATGTCCCTTCCACATTGATCTGGTAATTGCTTTGTTTTAATTTCTCCTCTGCTCTGACCAAAGCACTCACAGCAGTCGTTCCATTTGTCTGTCTGTTGTACAAGAGCACTGGTGAAGCTTTCGCATGATTCGCAATCTGCTTTATGACAGTGATAGAATTTGTTTCTGCGTGTATGTCATAGAAGAATATGTTTTTAATACGCTGTCCTCTCTCTCCAGGTGGTACGCTTGTCCATGAACTCGTGGCTCAAGACCCGCAGATGGGTCCTCAGGCACTGCGCTGCGGACACCCACTGCTCCTGCTGACATTCTGCTCCAGTGCTATTTGAGGGGTTTGAAGCGTGGAACATTAAGGTATTCTTTAACCATACATACAGGCCTACAACAAAGACAAATCTCACAATGTACTAATATGGATATTTGACATCTTCTGTTTATTGCACATTGATGCAAATCATATAAAAATCCTTGTCTCTGTCCTTTCAACCTGGAGAAACTGAGACAAACTGAGTATCCTAGATGGCTGCTGCCTGTCTTCATTTCTCACAGTAATAGTAATCAAGCATGCGCAGATTTTTGCCGGTTTATGACCCGATTTTTAGTTCATTCATTCCAAATCTAGGTTTAGTTTAATCCCAGTTTAGTTGTGGTATAGCCCAGATTCAGTTTCAGATCTGGTGTCTGTATAGTTCCAGTTTTGTGGTGAATGTGCATGAGTGCCAGAGTGAACACACACATGGATACCCCAACCCAGCAACTCTTGATGTGAGCGATATACAGTGCTCTTAACTTTGCCCTTGGCTCATATATACATGCTTCCTTTTAAAATGGCTACGCTTGATGGCGTCATTTTAATCATCCATGCTGAGATGAAAATGTGAGGAGAGTATAAATGAATTGCAATGTGGCACAGTTTAGCACAAGGGATACAACGCACTAACTGCATGTCTTCAGAACACATTAAAATGAATGTAACTTTAAATGTATCTGAACGACAGAGCTGGCAATTTGCTCCTTTCTGCCTTGCGAGTGAAATTAAATTATAGATCAAGAACCCCTAAGACAAAATGCTCCATCTGAGACAAAGGCCTGCTCCTCTGTCTGCTACTCCCATCTCTATCTGCACAGCCTCATTCATTCCGCCACTTAGACAAGAATCTAATTAGACCAGAATATCAACATTAAAACACATATTTGCCCCCCCCCCCATCTCTCTCTCCTCTTTGTTTCGCTACTCTCTTCCCTACAGCTGGTGAGTCCTGGGACTGCCCCTCCCCCAGCGTTTGAACGATCCAATAGCAAAGCACGTCAGCGAAGTGGGGGCCCCCTCCTCATCCCACACTCACTCACCATGCTTCCCTCCCTTTCCTTACACACCACCAGCCCATCCATTCCCAGCACCATCCCCCAGAGAGACCCCTTTCTCCCTTTCAGTGCACCCCACCCCCTAACCCACTTACTCCTCCTGTCTCCACAACCCCTCCCACTCCCACCCTCACTCGAGCTGCTGCTGATACTTCCCCATGGCAGCCAGACTGTTCACAATTGGTCTCCATATAACCAATGTTATATTTTTACATCTTAAAAAAAAGTATATGTTTCAGAATGAATGCATGTTTGGTTGGATCAGTGTTCTTCTTATTGCCGGATCAAATTCAGTATCATGATGAACACAAAATAGAATGTCTGAATTCTTCCTTTAAAGATTATTGTTATAATTATCACAATAATATCTTCATATCCGATTGCATTGTTCACATTACATGATTTTTAAGCTGACACAAAACACTGCAGTATCAGTTGTTTAAATGTCAGGAAGTTGGTGTAATTATTTTCATTTACGTTTACATTTTCATCACCCAAATAACTTTCTGTTCTTGTGTTAAATGTTTTGTGCATGACCACTTTCAGACATATTCTAATACATATATCTACTCTTGGGTGTTTTTCTTTTTCTCTACACTTAATTTTACTTTTCCTAAAATGCTATCCAGCTGCATACTGTAACCCTTATATACATCAATGCTATGTTTTACCCTGTAAAGGTCAGACAGGAAATAGGAGAGCGTATAGATAGAGTGGATTTGATCTTGCTCTCATCGCATCATTTACAAATCAGTGTACATTGATTAGAGCACATCTCTACTCAATCAGCTTTCCTATTACACCTATTCGCCATTTTCCTTTTTTCCATCTCCTTCCCCCAATCCTGGTTCCTTCTCTTCCCTCTCTCCTCTGTGGCCTTATCTTATGAATATCGGTAGCACACTGGGTGAAAAATTGATCCTTCTTGGCTGGCTGTGGACGCTGACCAAGTGTATTAGCCCATGTGGTAGTGGTAGTAGTAGTGTGTGTGTGTGTATGTGTGTGTGTGTGTGTGTGTATGATGTGGTTCTCTCTATGGGGAGAAGGAGAGGAAAGGGGGAGAGATAGGCCCTATTTGCATATCATCAAAGTAGGGGAAGGGAGTGTAATGAGGAGAGAATATGTGAGTGTGTGCATATTAGGAATGGTGTTGATTTGGGGTTGGGTGAGTGTGAAACGAGAGAACCGATGGTAAAAGAAGGTGAGATGGACAGGACTATGGGTGGGAGGACAGACAAGCAGAAATACACGTTTAGACTACGCACCAGAATTTCTGAGAGAGTATATAATGAAACACTTAAAACAAGACTTAAAGGAAGTAAATACAAACTAGTCTACATTTTCCAGCATGGAACAATCATAGAATATGTATTACAGGAGCAATAAACACAATTGTGCTACAATTTTCACTGTCTTCACAAAGGATACCATGCCTATTTGCAGCATTTGCTAAATGGTATCATACTTTTGCAAAGCCAGCTAATAGCAGCAAAGTTTATTTTAAAATCTAGCTCCAAAGGAAACAGCTGCAATGGGTAGGCTTGGTATTTGTAAATAAATAATTTAAAGATCCCCTCAGCCTGCCTCCCGTCTGATTTAACAGGACTAATAATCGAGTTCGAACGGCTCACAAAAACGACATTTTAAATTGAGTGTTCGCGTAACCCAACATTTTCAAACAAACACAGTTGAGTTTCATGATAAGCCTCGTAATGCTTTAACTCTGGAACACGCCCTCTCCAAAATACAAAGCGCACAGTGAAAACAACTGCTGGTCTCTGGTTTCGATTGGTCTCGTCTGGACAGATCCGACTGGAGCATTGACGGGGTCTGTCACATTTCACGCTGACACCAAGCGAACACAAGGCGCACACACACACAACCATTCACATCATCCACATCATCCACGACGCAATACATCCACCAAGTCTGGGCATATCCGAAGAGCGCACGCCGGAGGTAAGGCGCATGGATTAAACTACTTGAAAATACCAGAAAACAAGGCCGGTTTGATCGCGAAGCTGTTCAGGCGGATCTTTCCCTTTAGATATGTTAGATTTTTACCCTTGGTTCTTTCTTCGTATCTTTAGATTGAACACTTTTTATCTATCATTAACGCGTTGGGTTCTGCGCGTTTTCAGTGGTAAACAAAAGTCGGTGGCGTCGATTCCCTGATCTAGTTACATGTGATAGATACTTTAAACTTAAAAAGAGTTTTTCTTTTACTAAGTGGATAGTTTAAAGGGAAGCGAGGCGTGGGTGGCTCAAAGATGGGCTTTCTCTACAGAGGAGGAGGAGGGGTTGGTATTGCTTTCCTAGCTAGCGAACGCATATTACGCAGATGGCTAAACAACTTTAATTAGTCTCTAAAGTGCTTAAAGTAGAAAGAAACTATCTTTGACTGGAACAACATCGCCGATGAGAATATCAAGAGTGGAACCGATGATTTTAGATGGTGAGAAAAACATTGTTAGAGCTTTTTGGAGCAATAATGTTAGCATGCCACCGACGTACTACTAGCCTCGAGCAGCAGCCAGCTACCACTGCTGTGAACTTATCTTGTTTTGGGGGACAGACACTTTCCTCTCGTAAAGTACAAACTATTTTAACAGGTTTAAGCAGCTTCTTTCTGTACTCATTTTACCCATGGTTAGTTTGTGTGTGCGCGTTTGGAGCAGTGGCCACTAGAGCAGATAGTGTGTTTGGGGATGATGCGTCTCCCCCAAAGCCCACACACGCACTTGTCAAAATAAACATAGATAAAGTCGTGCGTGTGGGGCTTTAGTTTAATCTGCTGGATATTTAGCTTCAGGTTGAACTGTTGTACAGAAAATGCATTTTAGGCGTCTTTTTGTCAGTGCTCACTCTTCAACTTTATTTCTGGACAGTGACTGAAAGCGTCGTCTGTGAAAGGAAACGAGAGGAAAACAGAGGAAATCCCCCCAAAGGAAATGCCAATCGCAGCCGCTGGACAGCCCACGACTCAGGAGCCCCGTGTTTGCCCCCGGCTGCCCTCCACCCCAGACCCTGTCCCTAAAGGGGCTGATTTATTCGACGAGGCGGGGGCGGCGGAGTCTGCAGAGCGGACAGAGTACGGGGGTGCAGAGGGCGGCTTTAGTTACAGCCACAGCGGTGCTCGGAGCTTCATTCTGTCCGGATCCACCACCAGCTCTCCGCCGCAGTCCCCGACCGCGTCCTCCTCGTTCCTCTTCCGCCCCCTTCACCCGCACCAAATGACCATGGAGCCCCCAAGGACTCGATCGCGTTCACGCTCCGGATATTACCAGCAGTACAATATGAATGGCAATGGGATTACCGGGAATACGGTCATGGGATCCAACCACCACCATCAGCAAGTTCATCAGCAGCAGCTGCACCCTGCCGGCTGCGCACCACTTGGAGCCCACGGAAGCCACACAGACCAGCACAGAGCCCTGGGAAGTAACTCTTCAGCCGGGATCCAGAGGTTCCCCCCAGTGAACGGCTCACACCGCATTTCAGCTCCAGGTAAAACCAGTTCTGCATGCCCAAGCTTTGAAAATTTGTAAAAGACAATATATTTATTTTATGAAACTGATGTTTTTGCTGTTGTTGTTGTTTTTCAATTCTTTACTCTTATTTGACATTACCCATGTTTTAAAACAAATGTATTGACATGGAAATAGCTGGTGGGTGCATGTAACAGCAGTATGTGAGCACATGGGATGGATGAGTTGAGTTTACAAATAACATTTACATTCTTCATGTAACTACTAACTAGGTAACAAGTCTGACATAAAATGGCAAAAAGCTATGAACAAGGACTCTAATTGAAAAAGTATTTTATTAAGTACAACAATTGTTGTAGCAGTCGGCTGACGTTGGTTTAGCAATTTGAGGATTCAGACAAATGATAAGGTCAATCGACAATTTGAAAGTATTACATGTCGTGGTTTGTCATTTTTACCACAGGGCTCTATTCCTGTTCTCAGTGGACTTAACAGCACAAACTATATTTAATGTTACCCACTGTGGAATGAATAGTGACCTGAAGCAGGTGGTTGATAAGCTAAAAAGGTATGCTCAAAAGTTCAAATGCCATAGACGCTCCTCCATCCAAAGCATTTGTACATTTGAGCATATAATATCACAATTTTGTAGATGTGCAATATCAAGAGAATTGTTTATCGTCATAACGAGCACGATCAAAATTACTGAGGCTCACCAGATTTAGAAATGAAACATATATAATCTCTAACTGTTCTAATATATTTTTTTAGCAGAATTTTGATGGCGTCACTGTCACATTATTGTTAAAATATTGCAAAAGTGTGTCTCAATAATCATTTCCAGTATCTCCTATGTAATGATGGATTACAACAATGTAAGCTATCGTATACTTGGACTAATAGGGTGAAGTCTGCTTTGTCAAAGTGCGCATGTGGTGAGTGCATGTGAGTTCTATGTGCATGGCTCCAGAGCAGTGGAGCCATGCACATAGAAGCCCCACAGATAGAGTTTCACATTCAGGACCAAGAGAAAGCTTTTCTTTCACAAAAGGTACAGCCGGCTTTTCGGTCTGCTCCTATGTCATTTGATTAGATTTTGGTTCCAGTTAAATTAAAATGCACATTCAAAAGTATAATATATTTTAATCTCTGAGTCTTTTCAATTTGAAGTGATATGTCCCAATAAATGGTATAACTATAGAACTTGCAGGTGTGTGTACCGTTTAGACAGGTATTACTGGTCTGAGAGGGGAACAAAGATCCAACAGCTGCGCACACAGAGGCCAAAGCTGATTTAGACTCCAGCTGGAACAGTGCGGTCTATGTGCAGGCCTTTTAGACTGTACTTTATGTGAGGAGATATTATTGGATACTGTTGTGCCCCGTGACCCAGACTTCACCACAGTGGACCAGGGTATGTTAGGGTTGCACAGATCAATGTGTAGAATAATCACTGTATAATACTAAAATAGATTCTGATCCAGGGGAAAAAGGGGACGCTTAGTCTGGATCTTTATAGAACATGATGTCGTTTTGCTCTTGAAAGTTATTTGTAAACTTATGACCAATGAAACTCATGACAGGTATTGTGTATGTACAGTATGTGTGGGTGACTAAAACCACCAAAGTATTTAATACACTTTGATTTACCGGGGAAACGACATCCTTGAATGCATATTGCATAAACATTTTATCATAAAACTATAATAGTTCAAAAGAAATTAGTAATGTGCCCAAAAAGTGAACCTCGGAAAATTAGAATATCGTTCAAAAGTCCATTTATGTCACGCAAAATGTGATACATCCAGCTTTTTTGTTGTAATAATTGACTCACAGCTTGTAAAAATCCCAGATAAAACATTAAGTATTTTAAAAATGGACTGTATGCCATAATCATTAAAATAATAAACGAAAGCTTGGCATATGTCCAATTCATAGTTTGGTTTCACATTTTATGCTGAATTACAATTAACTTTGAAGGATATTTTTACTTTCCAAGTTTCACCTGCAGTTTTCTGTGCTACTGGGAATCAAATTGTAAGAAAAGTTAATTATTTCATTTCTAAACGACAATGAGCCTCAGCAATTTTTATTCTGCGTTCTTGTTGGAGACTCAAAATAACATATATAATGTACGGAAGCTTGTTAGGTTCACTTGTGAGTGTGTTTTTTTTCCCGCTGGTATCATGTTATTTCATGATACTTTCATGAAATAACATGATAAATATCATGTTATTTCATGATACCAATTTATCATGTTATTTCATGATACACAACTATCATGTTATTTCATGATACACAACTATCATGAAATAACATGATAAATTGGTATCATGATAGTTGTGTATCATGAAATAACATGATAGTTGTGTATCATGAAATAACATGATAGTTGTGTATCATGAAATAACATGATAAATTGGTATCATGAAATAACATGATATTTATAATGTTATTTCATGAAAGTATCATGAAATAACATGATACCAGCAAGAAAAAAAAAACACAAGTGAACCTAACAAGCTTCCGTAATAATGTGCCTATCATGTTCATTGTTTATATAATTACAAATGATAGGTCAACTATGAGTTGTATCTGTTGTGTAGATAAAAAAAATGCATATTGCATTGCCATTGTGTAACATGAATTCAACTATTTTATAAAGTGAGAAGCACCTAATCTAATTGGGATTTTATGTGAAAAGATATGCTTAATCGTTATGAAGCTAACAACCATCTCTTTGTTCTTCGCTTGAAGGAGAATTTGTCCTTAGCCAGGTGAATCCTTGGAAATATTTGTACTTGAATCTTCATGAACAAGAGAAAGCAGCTGGCTGGCTGGACTTGGTTGAACGTGCAGCTTTTATTAGAGGCTCTTTACTGCAGAATGCTCTGTTCTCATTGGGTACAGTGAAAGAAAAGTAGACCTCCTTGGTCTTTTCTTCTGTACTATTCACCTGTGTTGAGCATGAAAGCTAATGGTATACTGTACTCATTTCATCTACTCCCCTTTTCCTCCATTGCTTTCTCCTCCTGTTTTTTCATAAATGTATTTGTGTATTTTTACTCGTGTTATAAGGCTGACTGGTTATACCGGGACATGTTAACCAATTTAAAATAACAAAGTTTAGAAAACAAGCACTGTGCTTTAGAAGTGCTTGGGCAAAGTGCCCACCAAATGCTCATTACTGCTGCCAAATAACTTGAAGTGGCTACAACATCCCCTCCAGTCTGTGCTATCCTATCTGTTATGACCCACCCCTCTCGTCCCATCCAACACTAGCTCCCTTTAGGACTGGCCGACCCATGTGCCCTCCTCCAGTCCATTTGCTGCGGCCTCCTCCCTACCATTTGTCTAATGGAGGGATCGTTTTAATGGATCGCCCAAAGCAGCAGCGAACCATCCACTCCTGCCTCTGTACCTTTACCCTCCACTCCACATCCATCCTTTCCATCCTTCCGCCTTTGACACAAGTGGAAACATGTACTGTTTTTTAATTTTTCTTTGTCTTGTCACCCAGGCAACCCCCTCTAATTTTAAAGGCAAGGTCCTGTGGATATTGACCAAGTAGCAGGGGTTCCTCTCTTGTCACTCCAAATAACTGACGACGCAGTTCACTCAGTCATAATGAAAGATGATGGGGCTCATGTGCTTACAGGTTACTGTATGTCTGGCCACTTAATCTGCAAAACAGGAATACAGAATACTCTTTGTTATAGACCAACCAGAACCTTTCTGGATCTGCCCATAAGCAACTTCTACTGGAAACCTTTCTACAATAGGCTTTGAAATGGTAGTGTGTGTTTGTGCTGCATTCAACCAAAGGCTTTTTTGGTCAACCAAAGAAAAGACTGAAAAAGGGGCGCTGTAAAGAATAAGTAAGTAAGTAAGTAAGCTTTATTTATTTTAGAATCTCGGTAATTATCTGCTCAGTTTAATATTATTTTGCAGAAAAGTATAAAACAGCTTTTCTCTGGTATAGCTGTGGGTTATTTGAATAATTAAAGGTTAATTAATTTGATGGGGTCAAAGTTGAGGTCTTAAACACTTCCAATCCAATTTCCTCTTTATTTTCAAACAGAAATGTGCAAATAACTAAATCTGCCCATTTATAAATTATAACTATATGGTTGTAGTGCTGATCAAGTCAATCTTTCCTTACTCTCTTCAAATAAGTATGGTGAGGAAAATGTCACATGGTGGAAGCATAATAAGAAAAGCCAGAATTGACACATGACGGGCCTCATCTCGATAGTCTACTGTTCGTCATTTTTTTTATAGATCTAACACACATTTTGGTTTAAATTAATCAACAATAATAAGATTAGTTAAAATAATCCACTGTATATATAATATAATGTTTCTTTTTTACAAGACTACAGTTTTGCTTTTAGAGCATAAGGAAAAGCAGCTATGCAAAATGAAAGGGTACGACAAAAGTTGTACTGAATCTGAGTGACACCTGAGTATGATATGAGGGCAGAGGCGGTGTGCCTCACAGAGCAGGTATGCTACAGCCTCAGGCTGGGAGCCACTGTGACCGAATGGGCCGATGACTGGGATTGGCTGTAGGCTGATTGAGTGAGAAGGAGAAGATTGAAGTTAAACTAGGAGGTGTTTTCAGTGCAAGGAAGTAAATACAAGCGAGGTTTGCATGAATGCCGAGGGACAAAGGGAGGGCTGGTCTTTGCCATTACATGTCTATCTCTCTCTCTTAAATTAGGAATGTTAACCAAATGCTTTAATGTTTAGTCAGTGTCTTAATCAAATCCAATTTATATTGTCCAAAATCAGCAGTTGTCTTGAGAGGACAAAAATAGTCTCAATTCACCAGCTAAAGTTAAACGACTAGAATTGCTCACAGACAAACGCCAGTGATCACTTTACCTCCTGGACGAGAGGTAACTAATTGCTGCACAAGTTTTCTTTTAGGGCTGTAACGACTAATGAAATCGGTCAAATTAATACATCACAAAACAGCTTTGATTAACTATTCCTTTTCCTCAATTAATCAGACAA